AGGCCCTTTAGAACCCAGTCTATGTGCCTGACGGGAGTTTCTACAATTTGGGATAATATTATGACGTCATCAACGTAAACATAACACGTTTTTCCAATTAGCTCGCGTAAAACGTCATCGATTGTTCTTTAGAAGATGCTTCACGCTTTCTTCAACCCGATTTTATGCTTAGTGTTGTGAAAAATTTGTCTTTACTAAGGTTTGCCAATATCATAGGTATGTTTGGCATTGGGTATTTATCGGCGACAGTCTCATTTGGCTTCTGAAATCTATTTCGTGAGTTTTCTTTTTGTTTCCATTCTCGTCATATGTCTTTCTGTCTACAACCTAGGTTGGATTATTGTACGGGGATTTTGAAGGCCTTTTTATACCATTCTGGAATAAGTCTTTGATTTGGCCTTTCACAAAACTTTGAATAGACTGCAGTATTAAAAGTTAATGCCTCGTTAAAAGTCGAAAACTGATGGTGACCCGTGTCGATAATAAACTTTAGTCTTCTCCAAGCCAACCAAGTCGTTCGATGGGGCTATCATACAGAGCTAAGGGCTATCATGCAGAGACTCACATTCATCGTCTGCACACTGTTCGTGAGCTAACTTATCATATTCACCCTCTTGGGTGAGCTCCTTTTGCAGAGTATTATTCACCCGCTGGCGTCTCTGACTTGTGACCCTTTCGGATGAATTCTGCCTTTTTTTGACTTGTTCGTTTTGGACCCGCTTGTTACTGAACTGCTTTTTATTGTAACCTGTCTGCTTCCTAAACTTTGACACTGAAGTGTCAACGTCGATGGGCTCTGGCGACGTGGCATGGGTTTGGTTCTTCTGTGCACTCAACCCTTTTATAAGGCTGGTGACAAATGCGTGCAAAGCATCTTCTAACTTCCTTGTTCAATGAGGCGGCTCTGTCTACGTCGTATGATGCTACGACCTTGTTGATGGCCATTGTAAGCTTTCTCTGGGGACTCTCATAGAACTTCATTAGCGAATTATTATTTTGCTTAACTGTCTCTAGATCCTGTCTTAGGATCCGTAGAGGTGTTCTATCCACGTATGTGTCGTCTAATCTAGTATCACAGCGTCAAAGTCCAACAGTATCTGATAAGACACCAAAAGCGACTTTGCGGCACTCCTAATTTGGTTTCTCAGTATAACTACTGCCGGATATAGGCATAGCTACCGTCGTACGGCCTGTAAAGAATTGGGGGAAAAGCCAAATTTGAAGACTCCAGCACTAAAGATGTACAAGACATAATTTAATAAGTGAATTTCCATGTTTCTTAATCGGTAAAAATGAAACGGCAATAGCTATCGATTATTTGAAACAAATTTGATAAGAGCGTAATTGAGGTGGATCTATAAAAAAATTTAGTCTCTAGAGATTGACTTATTCATTCATTCGATATCGACGCATTCATACATTCGGATAAACATTGCTCGTCGTCTTCACCAAGAATATATAGCTTTTATATTGTCTGTCACGCCTTCGCCTGTTACATACATTTGGACAAATCCATTATGCCTTGATTTCCCATTTTCAATATGTTAAAACAAACTTCCTGGTCGAATCCCCACACTGTAGCATTTCAAGTAGTTAACAATAGATACATCTGCATTTATTGCGCCACTGCACTTAAGTGCATACACGAGCTACAGTCGCGAGAAATATAATGTTAATGAATTAAAGCCCGACTCAACATTGTAATGGATAATATGAAAGTCGTACCTAAAGCTAAAAATATGAAGGTCATAGATATAGTCTCTATGCAAGGTATCAGAAACATTAACAAGTCATAAAAATCGTTTATTCTTGACCAGTAACCGCGCAGCAGCAACACAAAATCGTTTTGCAATGCTCAAAGTAGATATTGTGAATCGTCAGCAGCTCCAAATATTGACTGACCAGCCAATGGAACAGCCATAACCTCGACCGCCTCCCATTTGGTGCCTAAACATTACATGTGTGTCATTACTTCAGCATGCAAAGTCTTACGTTATTAAATCAAGACAAAACCATATTGGCGTATTAACTTAATTTAGTGATAATTATTGTGTATTCATAGAGAATTACAAAGCTGGGATTAAAGAAAACAAGCCATATAGAGCTGCTTCAAAGGGCTTCACTACAGCACTACTGCCAAAAAGCTCCCAAGTGTGTGAAATGGGCCGGGAAACATGCATCCAAAGGGGAAAGTACTAATCACTTACTTGTGTACATTACGAGTTCCACCACGCTGCCAACTACAAGGGCTACTTAATATACAAGCTACAGGCTCCAGTGCAAAAATGCTATTTAGCTCAAATACCTAATGCGGCATCGAGTAGCTTTGCCGAATTTGGACCCCAGACTTGTACCTGAGCCTACAAGTGGTGTTTCTTATGTGCAGGCCGTATGAGGTGGAAGATCCGTCATTATCCAAGTGCTGTTTCAACAACATCATCAATAGTTTGATGGAACTAATGGCACAGCATGCAAACATGTTTATTGGCCCCATGACCAGCTCTGGAACGCCAATGGCCTCAGTAACAAGACTATCTGTGTTCCTCTCATAAAACCATTGATATCATGTCAATATCAGAAAATTATGAGTGGTCCACTAAAATAAATATTCGGATACGAGCAAACAGTCTTGGTGTCTCATCAGTCTTGTTCACTCATCTTAGATAGAAGTTGCCTTAATTTATTTAGTTTGAATAACACCCTCATTGGTAGTCGCATAGCTTTTGAGGTAGTAACACTACGAATCAACGTGGAAAAGTTATATTTGAAGCGATTCATAACGGACAGAATAGCATATTGGAGATTGGAGTGCCTACTTGTTAGCCACTAAATAGATATAGGACCTCTGCAATATATTTTGTGGTCTAGCTATCGTCTGCCCACCGACAACTTATGATCACAGTTCTTGCGCAGCTTTTCCGCACTGGGAAACGACTACTGCCAGTACGATCAGATTTAGGAGTTTTTAGACGCGAGCTACACTACTCTTTATATCCAGAAATGGAACTAAACATTCCTGAAGATGTGGATTACGGTGTAAACAAACTGCAAGAAGAAATAGTTCACTCTGCGGTCCTGGCAGCTCCACCCTCTCTTTCTTCATACCATATTCCCCTCTCCTTGGAGACCCAAAATAATACACAAAAAAATAGGCAAGAAGGTTTAGATTCGATTACGCTAATGGTAAAGACAGCTACAACGAAGCCACGAGGTAACTTAATGCTGCGCTAGCTCAGGCTCAGAACCACAATGTACTATAACAGGCCAAATCACACATAATTAAAACATTTACATTATGGAGACTTACCAGCAAACTTAAGCAGTAGCTGATCTGCCGAGCCTTCATACGCAACACTTCACCGATGAAGACGAGTCATAAGATGAGGCCTTTGTCCACCATCTTCAAGATCAATTCACGCCGGCGATAATTGCCGATTCTTTAGAAATTGCAGCAACTGAAGATATTGTTGTCTCACCTCTTCCAGTGGATGTCCGGACAACAGGATTTACAAAACAGGTTCTGAAACAGATCAGCCGTCGAAAGGATTCAATAATAGATTATCTTACTGTGAGATACAACGCCATGCTTCTCATTCGGTACTTACAACTTTCTGGAAGCGCTTCGTGATAGGGATGATTCCTAAGAATGGGAAACCGGTGGGCAAAGTTGGGTCGTATAGACCAATTAGCCTTTAGCCAATACTCTCCAGAGCATTCGAAAGAATACTTCTTGGACTTCTTGGAAGAATAATTTAAGCTGCTGCTTCACTTTAGGTATGCTAGCTTCTAAGCAGTGAAGTGGAAATATTGGTTGATGCTTCAAGGTGGCGATTCAACCAGTTCGTTTGCGGTTATAGCTTTTTTTATACACTGATCTCATAGAAAATGGGAAATTAGGTTATAATGGTTCTGTTAAAGTATATAGTTTGATCAGGACGATAAGCCAAGTCGATTGAGCCCCGTCCGTCTGTTCGTCCGTCCGTTTGTTCGTCTGTCTATCTGCCTGTCCGTATAACTCAGCATCTATGAGCTAGAGACTTTGATTTTATTTTTTGAGCTTCCAAATTTGGTATTTTTACTAAGCTGAAAAGGGCTCTAAATGAATATGTAGATAATATGCTGAAATTGTAATTAAAATCCATTAAGTAAAACAGAAGTTATTAAACAAAAAGTTATACCAATTTGCAAAAGCACATGGTACACAAGCATTCAAGTGCGAGTATTGTTTTCTATTCGAAGAATCGAAATTGCGAATGAATAGTGTTTGAATTGTTAGCTGCTACTTTAGTTGAAATTTACAACTTCTTACACAAGTTGTGCGGTGACGGTGTTGGTAGAGGCAGCTCTCGTTGCCGAGAAGGTTCGATGCCAGGTGGAGCCGGGGCGTTATTTGATTTTTGTTTTTGTAATTATTAAGTGACGGTGTTAATAGCGTTGGTGCCCGTTGCTTAAGCAATATAGGTTCGTATCTTTTTAATGGTCCATATAAGATAAGGAAAATATTAAAAAGCGCATATAGGACTAAATATCTCCTAGTCGGGCAACCCGACTACAGATTTCTTAGCTGTTTGTATACCGGCTCCAAATTTTTTCGAATTTTTTTATACTAAAGTTGGGTTCCAAATATAGTCAATATGTGAAAAAGTTTGCTTTTACCAAGCTCACAAATATTCCAATGGAATGTGTAGATGATATGCTGAAAATTCTATTGAAATGCATTAATTAACTCAGAAGATATTAAGGAAAACGGCCAATTGTTAAACAAATGTCCATATTCAGCATTCATGCACGTGTATTCTTACCTATTTTATGACTAGCAACTACAAGTTATTGCCTTTCCATAGAATAAAAGAAACGTAGAATATTTGGAAGATGATTACAGAGATCATGGTATCCTCTAGTCGGGCACTCGGACTACAAACCTATTAATTGTTTTACCTCATATATATGTTTTACTATATTATATATGTTTTTTAATTAGCATTTTCTCTCTTTTCTAGACTTGTACCAACTGCTAAGCTCTGGTTACCACCAACGCACTCGTAACAAAAATGTCGCCAAATTGGCTCCTGTTTCTTGAGATCCTTATTTTATTGACAGGTACGCTTTTGTGATAATGGGAAAAAACTAAAACTCAATGTGGAAGCTGAAAATGTAATAATACATAATTTTAGGCGTATAGGCGTATAATTGGATACATCGAGAACAGGGATGAGGGAAAAACAGGTCAAACTGATTCAGTCTATGTAGTTCAAATGATATTTTGTTTCTGAAAATAAATTGTTAAATTGCTTAAAATCTGACTCAATTAATTCTGTCATACTCACATTTGCTTCAAATATTGCTTCTTAATTATAATAAATCTGTGAAAAGATAATCTGATTATTAACATATATATGATATACGAGTCTTGAATGGAGAATGAAAAACTTTTAATAGACCTTAATTTCTAAGCTTTTTGCCTAACTTGTGTCAAAAGAGTATTGTTGAAGATATGCCTCCATTTTCTGTACTAATGGCAACGCGAACAGCATTTCTTTCGTTCGATCCAAAAACAAAACAAAAGAATTTGTAGTGCCCGGATATAAATACGTTTAGCGCATTCGATTCACACCTTTTGTTCATTGCTGTCGTTAGTTTAGTTTCATAAGGCATCATTGTTTTGGTTGCATTTAATGCTAGTGTGAGTACAAATAACTGTGGTGGTGTTCAGTTGTGTAATGATCTTTATTCGTCTGAGCAAGAGTTCTTATATACGCTCATGCGTATTTCATCTCTTAGCCTAAGTACATTATGTAATGAGTGGAGCTCCAAGCGGGAGACATACTATGCTCTCCCGTTGTGTAGCTTCATATATATAGCTTGTATATACTTATATGCATATGTCATAAACATTAGGCAAGCGGCATAGACCTTAGGCAAAGTGCGTACGCGTCATCTCCCGCGCTGCTGGTCTGACCATAAGTGGCTGATCATATTACACTTGTTTATCTTTGCGCTCGCCCCCTTGTTTATGCGTAGGGACAAATGTCACTATATGCGTATTTAGTATACACTATCATATGTTAGGCATATGACGCATTTATATGTAGAGTACTCTACATTACTTTGGGTCTTATTAATATGTTATTAAAAATACTACAGTATGTTCATGCCTGAACAGCTAGTTTTGCTCAACTTGCTTGATATAGCTTCTCAGTTTAGAATGCTTGACATATTTTTTGTGCTCTTCAATTTATTTTTATTTTAAACTCTAAACCCATTGTAAATGGAAAATGAGGGTATAATGCTTTTTTTAAATATATACACTGCCGATCAACCAAATAGACTCACAATTTTTTTGGCAATTTGCAGTCATGGTACGCATATATTTTGCCTTTTTCCTCTAAAGTAAGCGCTTTACCACGACCCATCTTATTTTAAATTATAGTTAAATAAATTGACAATAACTTTTGAAAAGAATTTGCGACTTCCAATGTAACTAAAATAACCTCTTCTGAGTCTATTCCGATGATTGCAAAAAAAAACGCATTTTTGGATGAAAGTAAAGCAAAACAGAAATACAAAATAACTATATTTTTTGCATCCCCATATTGTCTCTAGCATATGTGTCTAGTTTCGCTCAATAAAATGTAATAACTGTTATAATGATAACTTAACGCAAAGAGGATAAAACAAAAAAATAAAAATGATAAAATGTTGAATCTATTTGGTTGATCGGCAGTGTATATATAACACACAGGAAGAGGCCGATTTAGCCATGTCTGTCTGTCCGTATGTGTCAGCCTGTTGATCTCAGCATCCAGAAATTGAACATTTTTTTTGTAATGTAGATGCATATTACGTTTGTTTTAAATAACCGATAACTGTTTCCACTTTTTTTTACTGATTAAAAGCTAGAGCCTCAAAATGTTGTATTTAGTTTTATTTATATTTGTACAATTTTATTATACCCTGATCCTATAGCATGTACATATCAAGTTTGTGTTTTTTTTTTCTTCAAATAATCGATACCTGTTATCGTTTTATTGTTATCGATTAAAAACATGATAAAAATTCAGTGTTTAAATTATATCTCGTAAGGATTAAAAGGTAGAGCATCCAACAGGTTTATGTATACTTTCCACAGTTTCGATTTTTGGTTATATTTTGGATACCTACTCCAAATATTCAGAAATTCTTTAAATTTAATCTTAGTTAAAAATAGGGGCAATATATAATGAAGTTTGCATTTTTACTAAGCTGGCAATTACTCAAATCGAATATGTAGATAATATGTTAAATATTTAATTAAAATTAATTAAGTATAAGAGCCGTTATTAAACAAAACGCTTGGCCAATTTGCAAGTGCACATGACAAGCAGCGAGCGTTCGCATTCAAGTGCGTGTATTCCTTTCTATTCTAAGAATCGAAATTGCGAATAAATAGTGTTTGAATTCTCAGCTGCTACTTTAGTTGTGATTTAAAACTCAGGCAGTGAAGGCACGTTTTTGTTTTATTTTTTTAATTATGATGTGGCAGTGTTGGTAGAGCTGATCACATTGAGTGACCAATGTTGGTTCGAATATTGGTGTCATATTGTCGGTATATATGTGTTTTTTGTTTTAATATTCTATGGAAACTATGCAGAGCTTTTGAAAATACGCAGATTGGATATCACCTAGTCGGGCACTAGACTAGAGCTTTCTTACTCGTTTAAATATGAAGTGGATGTATTGGTGGATAATAAAAGTTTCATACGAACTTATCCTAAAATCTAGAAGCCAATAAGAGTTTCGTACGATATTAAACTTAAATCTAGAAGCCAAAAAGGCTAGAAGCTATTTCATTAAAGAGAATACAACAACAGTCGACATGCCGCGAGGGATAACGCTGCTCTTACAACACAAGCAAATGTTACCAACGCTGACCGTTGCGATCATATATCCCATCTATGGTTTGTTTTTGCAAAGTACGCTAGGGAGGTTTTCTGACGAATTTTATGGAACCTGTATTAGATATACGATCAACGATTTTTCCTTATCCAAGGGTTAGGTCTAGTAATGTACATTCGCACACCGTTCTATTGAAGATAGCTTTAATTCCTTGAAATGCTACTGTTAGCCCGGTCCTAGAGATCATATCTATTATTTTCCGTCCTCTAAAGCTGTCGACGGCATTCCTCTGTCTACGGCTCATGCATTAAAATCGCCTACCATAATGAAGGGCTACTGTCAGTGAACGAGCATCTACTCGATGTCGACCAACTTTATTTGAAACATATTCATGCGACATCTACACGTACGACACACACATAGACGAAAAAGGCTACTTTTTTACTTTCCTATAGTATATATCCGTTTTCCTTCTGCTTATATTGTTCACTGATGAGCACTGAGCGATAGCAAATTCCGCAGCAAACTTTGTCAACAGTTTTGCCACTGTGTAGATTAGCTTATGGTAACTTATACTTAGATTAGTGTACTTAGGAAATCCTTGCATATGATCAACGGGAATGCTTCCTTTATCAGTATAAATGCAGTATTTGGGATGTTTTTGCAGTCTTTAATTTTGTGACCTACGCCCTCGCATTTAATGCCATTTCAATGTAGTCCTGTGTAATTGGGCTGTGGTCAACACCAATGCATCGGTAGCATCTAAAGATATTTTGAGACATTCTGAGCTTAGTTCTACAAAATCCTATTTTTTGCTGCCCGAGTTGACCCACTCTTCTATTAGTTGGCCTTCTCAGGTTACAAAATAACTAACTTGCTCAGTGCTAATCGGGGCTGTAACTTTAATGCGTAAGTCCACTAATGAATTTACGAGGAATTTACGCATTGCTACCTCAGACTCTACTCTGTGTATTACTTTCTGCATCTGATTCATTCCAGGGGCTCGTGCAGTACCCGCAAACATCTTCCAGTTCGTCAAGATCGGAAACAACACTAATAAAATACAAGTTCAAATCTTTCTGTTTCGTCACTGTTGCCGCTTCCTTATCGATGAGTTTTGAGATACAACCTTGCTTTGATGAAATTGAATGCGATGTCTGCGTGTATGGTGCAGCAATATCATCCGTGGTTGATTATGGTGTTTCGACCACATTAATTACTTTTGCCAAAGCCCAGGCTAGGGCCAGTGAAGCGTGAATCAATCTCTTCCGGTGGTGTTCTACGGTTTAATTAAATTCTCATTTTTGTATATAAAAATTCCATTCTAAAAGGGTCCCCACTCTAAGCCTCTATATTAGCTCGGATGTTCAATCGGTCATGGCGATCCTCAAAGCTGTCTATGCCTTTAAGTGAGGCCTTGTGAGGGTTGATTCTGGTCCTTATGGGAGCCAGCGCTTAGAGCCAGGATTAAGATTAAGGAGTTATCTTAGCTTCGAACAGGTATTATCAACTTTGAATCATTTATTAATTCCTAGTATGTAGACGATCAAATATAGCACTGTACCAAGTTCATCCCATTAATCTTCTGAAATCGCTGTACACTTTAGTTTCCAATAGGACATACAATTGTCTTGTCTTGCAAAATATATATATATATTTACATATATGTAAAGTAAATATATTCTTGATCATGCCGAGTGCATTTAGCTCAGTACGTCTGTCCATATGTCAGTGTATTGCACCCGCATATCAAGTTTGTTTCTACGAAATTCCCATTTAATTGTTATCGATTTAAAACATGATCGAATTGCAGTTATTAAATTATATTTGGTACGGCTTAAGAGGAAAGCCTCCAAATTTTGTATTTAGTTTTTTTTATATTTTATACAAAATGGATTTTTGTTATGTGCCGGTACAAATTTCCAATTTCCACATATTCCTTAAATTTTAGTTGAATTGAAAATACGGCCCACTGCACTGTTTTTTCAGGCAGTTGCAAATTCGAAGTTAAGTAGCAGCTAATAAATCAGCACAATTCAAGCACAATTTCGATTCATCGAATAGAAAGTAGTAAAGTTACTAAGTTTAACTTCTGTTTTACTTAATGGATTTTAATGAAATTCTTAGCATATGATCTACATATTCTATTGGCTTCGTAGAGATGTAAACGACCTCACATAATGGTTCTATTTCCAACTAAGCATTTGGAGAAATTTGGAGCCGGTATCCAAATTCCAACAAAAATCAAAATTGCATAAAATATACATAAAACTAAACACAATACAAATACAACACAATTTGGAGGCTCTACCTCTTAAGTCGTCCGAGATATAATTTATTAACTGCATTTCAATCATGTTTTTGTTCGATAACAATTAAATGCGAATAGTTATCGAATATTTGAAACAAACTTGACCTGCGCGTGCTGTACACGGACCTACAAAAAAATTTCAAGTCTCTAGCTCTTATAGATGCTGAGATCGACGCGTTCACACATACGGACAGACGGACGGACAGACAGACGGACAGGGTTCAATCGACTCGTCTTGTCGTCCTGATCAATAATATACATACATTTGCACAAGACCATTGTACCCTGATTTCCCATTTTTAATAGGATCAGGGTATAAACATATGGTGTTAAACAAAACGTGTGGCCAATTTGCAAAAGCAAATGCGTGTATTTTTTCCTATTCGAAGGATCGAAATTGCTATTGAACTGTGAATGCATTGCCAACTGACAGCTTTAGTTTAGATTTATATCTTCTTGCTCGAACAATGAAGTGGCGGTCGAGTCTGCGCTTGTTACCGATAAGTTCTGTGTTCAAAGCTTTTTAAAATATAAAGTGGCGGTATAGCTGGTGATTCGAGCGCTGGTGTCCTAATGTCAGTTTTCGTTCTTTTTTTTGTTGGATACAACAAGAAAATATTAAAAAAAAAATACAATTTACACAATTTTTAATGCTTTCATATATTTTACCCTTTCGAATATTTTAAAAAGTTAAAAGTCATTAAGCCAATAGCGTCAATAGCTTAAAACATAATATTCTTTTTGGTCACGCTTTGCGGGCAGAAGCCTGACTGTGACGACGGTTTGTTTTTTATGAAGCATGAAATAACTGTTGTGGTAGAAGTAATGTGCGAGCTTTTGATTCAAGTATTGTTATCCTCAATTAGATCTCGACTAAAGATATCTTACATGCTAAAGAACTAACCTTACCGCCCTATTAATATATTAGCAGCTGTCATTGGTATTGTGAAAAAAGCTCTGTACGAAACCAAACCCACGGTGCAGAACAAGCGCAGCATTCTGCACAGCGCATGCTTAATACCATGTTCCTGAAATAAATACAGAGCTTTAGTTTATTTTGAATTTTGAATACCTACTTCTCTTTCCATCCAATTCTGGTTTCGTTGCAGAAAGTTCGCAGAGCGCTTCAAAGAGGTTCTTTACAGATTTCCTTCAGGATCTGCCAACACCCGGCACAGGTGGACCTACCTTTGATACGACCATAACCAGTAACATTACCGGTCTTGTGGGCAAAACAGTAAAATTAACCTGCCGTGTAAAAAATCTGGGAAACCGTACGGTAAGTTTTAGCAGATATGTCGGTTTTAAAAAGCTTAAACAATTTTTCATATTCGAACATGATTCGTCGTGTTGTCAGTCCATCTGTCCGCCCGCCACTTTCGTATGGCAATTTTACTGAAAGATTGATCTGGTTTTACTGGCAATTATACAGCAGAAAAAACTTTAAATAGCCGCAGGGAAAGCAGGCCAATTCAGTTATTATCACTTAATTTCTGAAGAACACCAGATTATTTGATTTATCAATAATCGTAAATCTGAAAAAGCGTTGACACAAGCCCTTATAGTACGAGCCGATATAATCTTAGATACTATTTCTCGCTTTTTTAAAATCAATATTTAAGTCAAACATTATTTCTTTATGTGTTGGACGCTTCTAGTGCACGAGTGTTCAAGTAATGTATGTTTATGTTTTTTATACCCTGATCCCATTGAAAATGGGAAATACGGGTATAATGGTTTTGTGCAAATGAATGTAACAGACAGAAAGAGGCGTGGCAGACCCCATAAAGTATATTTATTCTTGATCAGGAGGACAAGCCGAGTCGATTGAACCCTGTTCGTCTGTCTATCTGTCCGTATATGTGAACGCGTGGATCTCAGCTTCTATAAGAGCTAGAGACTTGAAATTTTGTTTGTAGGTTCGTGTATAGCACGCGCAGGTCAAGTTTGTTTCAAACATTCGATAACTATTCGCATTTAATTGTTATAGAATAAAAATTGTATTGAAATGCAGTTGTCAAATTATATCTCGTACGCTTGAAGAGCCTCCAAATTTTGTATTTAGTTTTATGTATATTTTATGCAATTTTGAATTTTGTTGGATTTTGGATACCGGCTCCAAATTCCCCCAAATTCTTAAAATTTAAGTTCAGTTGAAAATAGGTCCATTATGTGAGGGCGTTTGCATCTCAACCAAGCCAATAGAATATGTAGATCATATGCTGAAAATTTCATTAATATCCATTAAGTAAAACAGAAGTTATTAAACAAAACGTTTGGCCAATTTGCAAAAGCACATGTCGGCAGCGCCATGCGCACGCATTTTTCCTATGCGTGTGCACACATACATTCAAATGCGTGTATTCTTTTCAATTCGAAGAATCGAAATTGCGATTGAATACTGCTTGAATTATTTAAGCTGCTACTCAACTTCAAATTTGGAACTATTATTTCAAATTTTGCAGTGACTGCGTTGGTGGAGGCGGCGCTCGTAAGCAGCTAGTTCCAAGGAGATTTATTTTTTAAAATTATGAAGTGGCGGTGTTGGTAGAGTTGGTGCGCGTTGCGTTAAAGTAGTGGCTTCGAATCCTGGTGTCGTACTGTCGATTTTTATTTTATTTTTTTGAATACTCGTTACAAACTAAGGAAAATATTAAAAAACGCAGATAGGACTGGGATCAGGGTATTTCCTAGTCGGGGACCCCGACTAGAGCTTTCTTGTTTTTTTTTTTAGTTTTTATAGATACACTATAGTGGATATAGCCATATATTTAACACCTATCATATTTCGGCTACTTCGAACATTTAAGACCAGTCATATACCTATACTGATACACTTATTCCCTAAATATGTGACAGACATGAAATCTTTTCAGACATATCAAAACATAATTCCATTTAGAATTAGTAATAAATGAAAAATTATCAATAAACATCATGAATACCATAAAATAGGCGATATAACTTTGTCTAAAAAAAACTACACCACTTTTTCGAAGAATTATGGTAAGCGTTAAAAAAATGCAATAAATACAGACTCGATTATTTAAATTAAGTGGAAACTGACAAACTTAAAAAGATCTTATATGAGTTCAATGATATTCAGTACCGCAAACGTGAAAATTCATCAACAATTATGTATTCCAAATCCATGCAAAAAACAGAGTTCCTAAATAAACATAGTCATTACGAATATGCGCGTATGCCAGAGATGTATGAAAAATCTTGTAATCTTGAAATATTCATAAAGTTTACCATTCATATACCATACCATTCATAAAGTTTACCTAGATGATATAATAGTATTGAAGAAACACATGTTGCAAATCTCACAATTATTATCAATACAGGTTAATTTATGCAAAAAAAAAAATAAATTCCTTGTCCACATTATCATAATAACGGAAGGTATTAAGCCTTAGTATTACAGATGCTAGCAACATATGTACCCTGATTTCCCATTTTCAATGGAATCAGGGTATAATAAAAGCACACTAAGTAAACACAAGCACCAAATTTAACATCCAAATCAATGAATATTTATAAAATAGGAAATTAAATTGGCGAAAAACGCTTAAATACATTTAAAAGTGAATTAAAGTAAAATCGATGTAACTTACAATATTTTGAAAAAAAAAAAAACAGGCTGAAGAAAATGTTGAATAAAAGTTAAGAAAGAAAATAAAAAAAATAATAAAAAGCTTAATCTACAAACACCATACCCTGATAATACCCTGTGAATACACTTGACTGTGGTGGCGTTCAGTTGTGTAATGATCTTTATTCGTCTGAGCTAGAGTTCTTATACCCGTACTCAAGCGTATTGCATTCCTTAAATCTAACTTATCTATGCTGAGTGTAGTTTGATCTATTCCTATTGTACTCCCTGCAAGTGGTTGAGTGCGTAGACGGCATGCTTAGAATTCTTGAATATGCTATATATGCTATATATGTTCATGCATGAACTAACCTTGAACCTAATTCTATCTGGGTTTTTTAATATATTACAAAGCTTGTCTCGAGCATTAAGAAAAATCTTAAATCTTAAATCTTAAAATTTTGAAATGGCTGGCAAAAGGTTAAGCTTTATGAGGTCCACCTGATTTATTACAATTACATGTGTTTTTTCCCAAGGAAAACAATTTATAATGTTATAATTCGCGCGGAAAACGAAGGCGAACAAGGAAGATTTTCAGTCGGGCAGACCGTTTCATTCTGTGGAAGATTGAAAAACAATCCGTAAATATCAACACGGAAATTTACTGCGAATCTTAAGGAAGAATGTGACATAGATGTGTCACATGAAACAGTACGCCAGGCTATCCTACGGCATAGGTAATCTTAATGAGTTTAGAGAAAGAAACCGCTGTTTTCATTGGTAAATGTAGAAAACCGCTTCAATTTTGCTGTGAACACGATTAGTCAGCCGGCACTATATTGGGAAACCTCACATTTTACGACGAAACAAAAGTGCTGTACTGCATCAATCCATTTAAAATCTTGGAAAGCAGAATTATCATTTGAGTGTAAAATTAAAAAAAATTTCGGTTATGGTTTGGGGGTTAATTTCTAGCCGAACAGTCGGGGAGCTGACTTATAGAACACAAAATTGTAAAGATGAATTTTTTTGTTTTTTTTTTCGTTTCATCTTACGTCATTACTCAATATTTATCGATAATCTGAATTCGATTGCCATACAAACGATCAATATTTGTAATTGTAACTACACTGTCATATACACTCGAAATTGGTCTGTTAGAACGATTGGCAAATTAACTGGTTTTCATTTAAGAAATTAAAGTCAAATTAAATTTGTTATGTTAACAGGTCAAGACCGATAATACCTTAAAACATCATTTGAGCGGCTAACATAAATCCGATTTTATTGAGAAAAGCTTAATATTATATTTATTGTTAACTATGTTAAATTTGTGAACGAATAATATGAATATTAACTGATATATGAACTTGGCTTTATTGTGACTTGTAATTTGTTTTTCGGTGGATTGATTATTATAAAATGGTACTCGTCCCCAATTACGTTTATTTTGCAGGGCTTCTAAGCTGCTTGCATTCTTTGTTGCAAAAGTGTGCAGCTTGGGCCAATACAAAAGTAGACAGCAGGTCTTACGGATGAAACCAAAACACCGCCAAGACCTTGGACCAACTGACCGGTACTTTGCATACATTGCTGTCAGTTTCATAAGACATTATTGCTTTGGTTGTAAGTAATACTTGTTGCCTGCTGATAATACTCCTAAAGCGGCGTACGTGGGTAATTCTAGTTCAAGCAAGTTATACCCCACGATACCGAACCGGTGGAATTTAGTCTATCAATTGCTTTCAAATTTAATACGGTATAGTGTTATTCTAGCATTGTGTTTGCTGATCACTTGAGTCAGGAATTGGCATGTGAACTTTCATATACATATATATTTATATTCGAAGTCGAAGTCCTATTATATTTCAGCAAGGGTACTGTTATGACTTCTCGCACGACATTTTCTTAATATTTCGTGACCATATTAATTTGTTCTTTTCCTTTACATTATTTGCTCAAGGGGATCACTCAATATATATATATATAAATTATCCTTTTGGTGTAGTTGCTGGGTATCTATAGATGATGCCCAGCGCTGTTGGGATAGATGTAGGTGTTCCGTAGGGTTATGATCCTTTAGGAAGATTATGGTGGAGAGATTACTGGTCTCTCTTATCACTGGCCTTGTGGTACAGTGATATAGAATAAATAAATCAAAGTCTTTTACAGCTTGTTGCTGGAGCTAAGTTTATTGAACGAGCTTTTCGCTTCGTTGTAAGAACAGAACTAACTCAAAGTAATTTGACAAAAAGAATCAAAGGCTACAAGAATCAAAAGCTACAAAGCATACTTATACAAGAATTCGGTCGGCAAGCCGACTCATCATAATTGATAACGCTGCTCTTGCGACACATGTAATGTAACAGGTTACCGCCGCTGACCGTTGCAATCCGAACGTTGAACCGAGCTTCTGCAAAGTCAGCACTTGCGCGTGCAGTTGTTTTGTCTAAACAACTGAGTGCGAGGAGCACTCGTTATCTACTCCCCCTCGGAACCATGACCGTCCTCGTTCATTTTATAGCTGTTGACGATCTCTTGTATCTTTTTTTAAGCTCGCTTTCTCCTCAGACTCTGGCAGAGGAGGATGGAACCGCCGAAGACGAGGCCAAGACCAGCTCCAGTGATGAACCAGGTTTTAAATGATCCGGCCAATGCTACTTCCCCTCGAAGTTTGTTGA